GATTTGATTGATTCTTCCTACCTGGCATGTGATGCCATCCACATTCCCACATCCTCAAAGCGGAGGATGTGGGACGGTACCATCACTAGGCGGTCGTATTGTGTAGGACCCCCCTAACACTTGTTCACTATTGCTTCGAAATTAACTTGAAAGTAACTGACGAAAATTTGAAAAAATGTAATATTTGGAATTTGGAATTTAGAATTTGGAATTTGGAAATATTTAGATGTGTTCCTGACGATCTCAGGGAGTAGACTGAATGATTTCACGTTAAAGTCCCGTAGCTGCTCGTGACAGCTGCTTTTGTTCGACGGCTGGCCTACTGTTTGCCACTATGTATAGGCACTCTATGTTGCACAACGAAGGGCCCGTCGCCAGTGCTGTCGAAAGTGTAACTTTGCTTTGCAGCTAATCTTGGGTATGATAATGGCCTGTTTTTCCAGGATACGGATGCAGACTCACTGCTGTGGCATCGTTTCCATTCCTTGTACGGCTTTGAAGAGGAGCCCAAGGAGATAAAAGCTGCGGTGCTGGCAGTGAAGCGTTACCAAGGTGCAAATATCCGAGATCTCCAATCTCGTAGCCAATTACTTTCTCGCCTGCTTGGGGATGGCTGTGCGTTGCGTTTATGGCGAGGACATATCGCAGAATTTCCAGTGCAATCGCCATCTGGATGACCAATGCGATGAGTGGACGCGGTGGAGTGGAGTAGCCACTATTAGTATCAGCTGCTGCTCAAGGTCGGGAGAAGGGGTAGCGGACTGCTAGGACGCTCCTCGACCTCCTGAAGTGGCTCCAAAGGGCACAATCCATTCGAACCATTCCCGCATTTGGACCAACAATGTGCAAGTGCTTTTAGAGACGAGGGCGGGAACTGTAGGCCCCCAGAGCTTGGAATGGCAGGGCGCCTGTAGCAGCTAAGAGGCATTAGGATGCTTTCTTGAATGCGTTAATTACTTTTAGTATTTAAATGGAAAAGGGGTTGATTCTCTTAGCCAATGATCACAAATGCTTTTGTTTTATTAAAATCGATTTACTGCATGGCGCTGTCCATCTAGTAGCTCTTCGGCAGCTTTATATCCCCCTCTGCCCACTGAAGCACTTCTGAAGGACTGTGATGATGTTCCACACAGTGGCCGGAATATATAAAACGCTCTGGTGTTTTGTTTATTTGTTGAACACCATCCAGCAACAACTTTCGATAGCGTCGATGCGAAATGCCCAATATGTTAAGATCCCGCGGAACAATTAGCTTACATTTCCCGGACAACGTGTGGACACATTCCCCAATTTCCCAAAGCAGTCCGAATATTTTGACATTTAGATAGAGTTGTTTCGACGGCCATTCAAATATTTCTCTCGCTCACTCTGAGTGCTTTTCAATGCTTGCTTTTGCTTATTTTTGGAGCGCCCATGTAGCTTAGTTTTTCCGTAATCTAGTTACCTGGTCTTTCCATTCTACTGCTGGTATGTTTGTTCTATTCATTTCTTTCGTCATTCACAAAAACTTTTCGAGCGAACAACACGTACAAATAAACGTAGAGAATTTTAAATTTTTTTGTTACCAAAATTTTTATATTTTTCCAATTCAAAGTGACATAATTTATTTTCTACAAATATTTTGGATAAGTGAAAATTCAATTCAAAGTGACATAATTTATTTTCTAAAAATATTTTGGATAAGTGAAAATTCAATTCAAAGTGAAATAATTTATTTTCTAATAATAATTTGGACAAGTGAAAATTTGGCATCCGTCAAAGCTATTGCGATCTGGAACTGTGCTCGCTGTGGTAACGCAAGCATTTTGCGATTCTGCCAAAACTTGCTGACTGATTCGATTCCGAGCTGGCCAAAGGAGCGGGGGAAGGGGTCCTTCAACTGCATAAGATAGTGGACTGTACAGCATTGGTCATCAAAATGTAATCAAAAGCCCAGGCTTTTCAATTGAACAGTGGAGACAGAGCTGAGCTATTAAACAATAGTTTGGAAAAGGACCACATCACCGAGGTTGCAGCCAGCAGTATCTTAAAAAGAGTTCCAATGCCAGAGATTCGACAGGGCAGTCTCTTGCAAATGTCTCCCAACATGGAGGTGGTAGAAAGATATGAGCTAGAAGGTCCCTCTTCGGAAGGCTCTGTCTTAATCCACTGGGACGCTGCAAGGTGGCATTGGACGACTACTAAACCACCTGAACCCAGTTCCAGTCCAGTCTGCTGCGAGAGCACAACGACGGAGAGCTGTGTCTACTACGACAAAAGGTGAGTCACCAGACGCGTCTCTGTAGGGATACTCACCTCCTTTTGCCCTCTGTAAGATTGGCTTTGCAACGGCGTTGTTTTGATGTCGTCGGGGTTGTCCGCTGCGCTGTTACATCGGTCGGAGTGCACCCTGCACCTTTGTCTTGCGATTACTTGGATGATTACCGGTATATATTTATACCTATATATTTTATATCTATGGTAAGATGATATAGTCTGCAGTATTAAGCAATTTATAATGTCGTTCCTCCATCACTCTCACAGAATGGACTATGAAACACACCGCATCTTGGAAACAATGACACAAGCACACTGTACTGCTGAATTAGAGAGTTTCTCCGTGGTTGAGTGCATTTTTTGATACGCATTTACAACAGGAGCGACAAATGCCACTGAAGAAGGGACTGGACACTTGTGGCTGATAGTCCGAATGTTGGGCTGTCTATCAAAAATCTACACCCTAATTTGGCCCCGACGCTGTTCGGTGATCTCGTTTTGAGGGTCGACAATGTTGACTTTGAAAAATGTGCTGAAGGAGCAGCTCTTTTCCGTTCAGTTTCTGGAGGTGCACCCTGCACCGTTGTACTATGGTAAGAATAATAATTTAAGAATCTAATAAGAATTTCATAATCTCTGCGGACCTTCTTTCGCAGTGCATACAGTTCCCCATGGTTATCACGAAGCAGACCGGTCTGGGACTAGGATCAGGGGGTATAGCAGTCTTCTATACCATTTCTTGACCATCGATCCATCGCTGGTACTCTGATTCATATGGAGGTCACGTGGCAGCGTCTCAGTGGATTGGGAAGGAAGCTTCACGAATGAGACCTCATCTAGCACACTTCCTTTTACCACTTCCATGCTGAGGGAGTTTTGGAAGAGATTGCCCAGTGGAATCTCTGGGATTCGGGCTATTTTCAAGACGCTGCTTCCTGAAACCTTCGTGATGTGGGACATTTATAAGGCACTGCTTAATAGAACTTTCGTGTTGGAGGACTTTTTTCACACTTTTTTTTTCGTGTGGTACTCCTTTCCAAAGATAAAAATATACCAGAAAAAGCTATAAAAGAAAAAATATAAACGATAAACGATATTTGTCCAAAACGATTTTTTATAGATTTGGGTCTTTAAAAATATTTCATATTTTTTTTTATGGACTAGTTTTCCTTAAAAAATTTTGTAAATCTATTATTTTTATTTACTTTTTTAGAGGTTGTGCTTCTTTTTTCACAAAACTTAACTATTTCACGCCTGGTTGTATTGTACTTTCTGAAAAGCTGATGAATGCAGCTATAAAATCTATCCAAACACTTTGTAAATTTTGTGCTTTATATTTTTGTTGTTAAAATTTGGACTTTGAAAACTCGCTGAACTCGAAATAAATTTATTCCTTGGGGTTTTGTATTTTTCTGGTATAAGTATAGTAATTGGGCGTCATGAAAGTATCGTTTGTAAAACGGTAAAGGTTTAGCTGTTTGTCCAAACCTTCAAATGCCTAATTTTGCCGTTATATTCCGTTACACGAAAAACGACCGTTTTTTTCATGTTCATGTTTCCCTAAGTCCATGTTTTTCTAGGTTAATAATTATGAACGGTCCTTAATTCAAACTATTTGGCCTATTTCGCCATCAAGAATTTTAAGACCGATTTGTATTTACGAGATTTGAAGAAAATTTAAAAATGTCGTTGGACATAACAATGTTCTCTCTTACCAACAAAATTTTAGGTGCCTTACGAACATGAGTCCAGATTTTCCAGCAATATTTTTTAGTTTCCTTAAGAACATCATCTCTTTTCGACTCACATTCTAAGGAAAACTGCGCCAAAATGAGTCGTGAGAGCGTAAATTCTCTCTCGGACTCGAACTGCGCCATGCTACGGAAAGGTGTGGACCACAGGCACAAATGGCCCAGCAACATTTCAAGGACCCACATGGGCGGACCCAGGATTAATTTAGTAATAGGTGACGTCGTCCGATGTGATGAGGGTCCATCCATTTTTTCAGTTCGCTCTTTGGGCTCAAAAGAGATAGCAAACCTTTTATATTCTTTACTTTTCGCTTGCTATTGTTTCAAAGCGACGAAGAATATACAAAAACAAAACATCATCCATTTATCTATCTCTGTCTCCGCTCTCACATTAAACATGGTGTCAAAGCACTCTTAGTTTTGTTGAGCGTATAATAAGACCCGAAAAGAGTGTTTGCGGGCCACCTTGTATCATCATCGTTTTGCATGCCTGTCCATACCCTGTCTTACCTTGCCGGCAACATATATTCTAGCAGCATGTTGCTTTTCGACTAGCAACATTGCGGGCGATTTTTAAGCGACGACCTTGCCGCCCCGAAAAACCGGTAAAAAAAATAAATAAAAATCGGCCGCGGACAAGGGAACGCATAAGAAATGTCGAATTTTTTGCCAAAATCGGGAAAGTAGTTTCAACAAAAATATCGAAAAAAAAAACAAACAAAAAATATCACCTGCAATTATATTATCAACCAAAATTTGTATATCTTTATTCAATATCGGTGCTTCGCTGCGGTTGCTCGGTTTCGATTCGGATCGGCGTCCTTTTCCTCACAATCAAGTCTTTGGCGTTTGGCGCGCTTTGAATATTGTTCGAAAATTACAAACAAAATTGTCCACCTCTTTCTGATTTCTTCTGTTGAGCGACAATGTGTGTCGTTCAGGACCTAAAAGGGCCTAGTCCCTAAGAGAAAATTCTAAAATTATAGAAATAAATTAAATAAAAAAGAATATACATATATATATGTATATGTATATATAAATTGTAAAGTTTGTTAGTCAGTGCTAAAGGCTTTCAAATCATGCCCGTGAAGACAGGGGCCAATGGCGGCGACTACGACTCCCAGGACGAGGCCAGCACTGAGCTGCTGGAAAAGCTCAAGCATCTGGATCGCCGTGTGGACGCCGTCGAGGGTGGAGGCTCTGGCGGCCTATGCGGCCGGAGGTCGTCCTGCTGGCAGTCGGTGAAGTGGAAATCGGCTCTCAATCATATCGGATTGCTGGTCTCCCTGTCCATCTACTGTGGCGTGGGTGGTTTGGTAAAGACGTGTTTCTCTCCCATAAAATCTGTTTAAATATTTAACTCGATTTCAACGGCTATCCATCTTGATTCTCGAGACGACCTGCTGCTTGTTAGAGAATATGAAACAACATCAAACAATAGCGCAATGGCAAAGACTGAAAATTTTCCAACGTTAAAATAGCGTTGTGTTTGTTTTTGGGGGTCAAAACGAAACACAAATGTGGGAACACCCAAAATATTTATTGCAGTGAAAATACTAAAAATTAGTTCAAAAATGAAGACATAAAAACTATTTTGTACATTTAAGTACCAGACGAACACCCTCTCGCTCACCTCAAACTGCTAATTGCCTTGCCATTGCACATACATCACAGAACAGAAAAGAACAGAACAGAACGGAACGGAACAGAACGGAACAGACGGGTCTGGAGCAGACGATGAGGGAGCTGCCGGAGGAGAGGCAACTGCATCATTGAGGTCTCTGCCTCGAGACCCGGAGGCAGTCCATGTGTGACCGCCGAAATATGGAGGGACCATCGGACCATCGGTCCATCGGTCCATCGGTCTGCCTATCCGTCTGTGGGTCTGTCCGTTGCCCGTCTGTCCATTGAAATGGTCGAATGCTGTTGGCTCTTGTCTAAACATTTACATTTTCGCCAATGACGTCGTCGAATCCGAATCTGTAATGCCGTCAGTAGTCCATGGATGCAGCTGAGGCAGCGAATACGGGCCCTGGGGGGGGCGATGGAGCTTTAATCGTTGCTGCCCACGACTTGACATATGGCCGAGTGTCGTGACGGGAAGGTATTTGTTATACTCGTATTGCCTCTCAATTTCCTCAAGCATTAGCATTTTCAGTGAGTAGGGCAGTGGCTGCCCAATGATTGAGTTGACTGAACAAAGAAGCCTAGTTTCACGATTGATTTGAATTTCGAATGTGGGTTAACCGATATAAATATGTACATATGTCTGTATATATTTATACATTTATTTTAATAAATAAAACTATTGAACTATTGCATAATTAAATATTTTACACATATTAATTCTTAGCTACATAGGCTTTTTTAATACGAATTAGAGCTACCACTTGGCTAAATGGATGATTCATGATGCCTCCAAATTCTTTGATATGTACTTCTGGGCAATATCAAACTTGTTCTTAACTTGACCACGTCCCTCACCCTACACTCAAGCAACCATCGACCCCGTCAACACCTCGCCTATATATTTGGCAATTTGCGCGGATTTCGGGCAACAAAAGCCATGCATTAATCAAGCAACACATTCGTATTCATGCGAACTATCAGAGACCCCTCCTCCCAAGACCGGACTCTTCGACATAAGTGCCTCATTGGCCCCATCCTCATCTCCATCCCCATCCCAGCTTTCCAGCCCAGTCCATCCACTGAACACACATACACCACATGTTGGCCAATTATGCACACTTCTCGGCCAAATTGCTCATCAAATTTGTTTCACAAAAATTCACAATTTTTCAAGAGAGAAAACGATTGAACAAGAACAAAAAAAAAAATTTGTTTTATGTTCTGCGGGGGCCTCTGATTCTTGGGGCCTCCATCGTCGATCCCGTTGCCCCCTGGTCCCCCGATTCCTGCGCTGATAGAAAATAAACTGTTTGACGGGTTGGGTTGGCAGCGAAAATGTTCTTGAAAAGTGCCACAAACATTTTGCTTCAATTGGAATTCGTACTTTCTTAATGCAATTTATTTGGGATTCATTTCCCACTTTCCACTTCGCCACCAGACCCTTCTACGTACCTACCTACATATACATATCTACAAAAAATGCCGGCTGCCAAATGAAACGGAAATGAATCCACCGGACCAGTCTCACATCAGCATATCAGATAACTTACCAGTTTTTTCCAGGTTTTTATTTTTCTCTCCCTCTCTACGTTTTGGTGCGGAAATCATCTCGAGCTAAGTTTGAAGCAACAAAAAACTTTTGTCAAGTGTTTTGACCCTTCCACACAATCAAATGGCTCAGAAAGTTTTCTTCTATGATCATAGCTCGAGTTGGAGGTATTTCTGGGAATTTTGTTTGCTCTTGCGAACTCTGATTGTCTTTCAAACGGTTACAAATTAAGTATAAAATTGATTTCTTAGTATATATATTTTCTAAAGATAGGTCTTGCATTGGGTTTACAATCTTTTGACCTTACTTTCGGCGTTCTATGATACAAATAATTATATTTTAATGAACGGCCTAGACGAGTAATCGGGTAAAGAGTGCATATCACCAAAAGTTTCTGTAATCAGGTAGAATAAAGCATTTTTCTAATCAGTTTAAGTTTAATGAACCCACTAAAAAATTGCTCATTAACTTGAACTTTATTTTTATTCGGTAATTTATGACGGAAAAATATGTTATTTATTCTTAGATTTCTCATAACAGAGCCACTTGGATATTTTTAGACTTTTGTGTTGTCGGAAATGTGGAATTCTCGAGTTCCATTAATTTGTTTTTGATCCTTGATTAATTTATGTTGTATATTAAATTTGTTTGGCAGTTCGCAGATTGAAATTGTAGATAAATTTAAATTTAATTAATTTTTAAATCTTAAATCTTGAAAAACTGCAACGAAAATATCAAAGATATCAAAATCAATCAGCCTACGGAGATTGGCCGAATTATGTCAAAACTTTGTATAGCTTTGGTAGATAAGCCTGCTGGAAAACAATTGACATTTATTGAATATTTATGAGTTTTTCTCTTTTCTCCTCTTTTACCCAGTGAAGTTTGTTTAGTAATTAGGACCGGGCTTTCCCATGGGAACGGCACTAGAGTGACTCAAATTACAGGCAAACAGCCTCCTCCACATATGGTCAAGAACCAGAGGAGTAGATGCGTCCAGAGGATGCGTCCTAAGTGAGTGGCTATAAATCATTTTAATTAGCAGTTTGTAGATTACTTGAAGTCCCCATCGATTCACATTCGCCTCTCCTTTTTGTCCTTTGGGTGTGTGTGGGTAAAAAATTTCGGCTTGTCAAAAGAGGTGTCCGTCCAATGGAAAATGGAGAGCTTAAGCCAAACTAAGTTGAAGGCCGAACGAATTAAGTTCTTGGCCAAAAGCCACACACACAACAACAAAAGCTATTAGACAACCAACCCAACTTTCACTCTCTATTTCTTTCCCTATACATACAATATATAGTCATATGTGTGTGTTTGTTGGTGTTATCTGATTAACTGACCCATCCAAGCCTGCCCAGACATGATTTTTCATATTGGGCCCAATTTGCCGCTTGTCCCTGAAAGGAATCCGAGACCAGGAACTAGGCACGGCCTCGACAATATTGTACGCCTTTCTGCCGCACGGATGTTTGCCTTTAAATAGCACATATAAAAAGAATAATGGACATTGGTGGTAGGAGAAGCAGAAGCAGAAGAAGAAACAGCAGTGATAGAAGGCCTAGTGGGAATCCTAGTAGTAGGATAACCCACATGTGTCCTTAGGAAACGTTGTAAAATCACGTCACGCTCGCATTGGAAAAATATTTAAAACGATTCAGTTGCCTCTGTTTAATGGAAATTTTAGCGAAGTTGGTGAAGACGACCAATAGATCTATATCGTAAAAACACACTCAACCACCTCGAATATATTTCTTTAAAATAAGAAATATGTTGAGCACAAATGGTTTTTGTTTTACCGATCGTTTCTATGGCAGCTGTATGAGGATGAAATCCGTTTCGACTTATTTCCACGAATGATCTATGCATTCAGGAGAGAAGTTAGGTGTATGTATGCCAAGAAAACGACTTACAGATATCTCTAGATAGATTCGTCCTGTCTATGCTAAACATGCTTGTGAATGGCCCAACTCAAGTAAAGCATTAATAAGAGGTACTACCCGGAATTCAGCTTGTATACAATCTCTTCCTGCCAATATTATAACTATTTTTCCAATCTCCTTCCACCTTCGTCAGGTGACGCCATATTGGAGTAATTCTTGCCATAACATTGAACCGATCGCAAAGTGTTTCAACCATTTGGGATACAAAGTTCCGTTTCTCTGGATCTCTGGATAGCTTCTGACATATGTAAATCCATATAATCCAGACAGATGGGCAGACTTTATGGAGTCGGAATCGCTTCTTTCTGGCTGTGATATGCATCAACAAAAATTTAGTAAACAGAATAGGAAGTAAGTGAAAATAAGGACTCTGGCCGGACCTGTTTTCTACATTTAAACAGATAAATATAAAGATTGTATATACAACATGTAGTATATAATTTAAATTCGATCAAGAGATGACAGCCATGTACCACAGATTCTCATCCCTCACTAATCAAATAAAAACCTCAAAACCGCCAGTCAATAAGCAAAGTCAAGGAATTCAGTTCAATTTTTGTTTCCTAATGAAATCATTCCGCCCGGACGCCTTAAGCTATGCAACACTCTGTTTCGGTTACGTGGAAGCCACATAATTTTGTTGTTTTTTGTTTGCATATTCCAATCATGTACCCTGGGACCCATGGACCCCCGTCCGACCGACAAAAATGCGTGCAAATTGCTCAACAATGACAGGCCAAGCGATTCGTTTCGGTACGATTCAGGTCAAGACAAAGATCCATTCCATAAACGAAACTTTTACCAAAGTGTTTAAGTGTATTAGTGAGGTGCGGTAGAAGAGAGGGGTACCAAGGAGCGACGGCAGCGATTGGCGGAGGGTGATGACATGGCCAAAAGATAAGTTTGTGTGGGCCATCAATTGGGGCACGCATGAGGCATACAAATGGATGACTTTCCACTCGCCAGCGACACACATCCAACAACATTTCAATTTATAACCCCCCAACGAAAAGGACAGAGATCCAATAGATAGTAGGTCATAAAGTCACTTGACCACGACTAAGAGATAGTACCACAGTATCAGAATACAAAGAGAGAGGATTGCTTTCAACAATTTAGCACGCCCAAAAAAAAAATATCTTCATTATTGCGGCGGCCTCTTTTTGTTTTACATGTGTCAAACCTCAAGATACAAGAC